CTCCGGGGGGATTTTGAAGCCGGCAGAAACGCCTCTCCCGCCTTCCAGCCGGGCTGCAAAAATTCCCAAATTCGGCCCCTCTTGCAAACCTTGGCTGGAAGCGCAGATGTGCAAATGTGTCATCATTTGAAACACGGGATAGCGGGACGCACCGACCCGTCCCACGTCCCGGGACAGAGTGAAACAGGCAGGTTTCGTTTTCGACGGCTCATGAATTCCCAGCTTCCAGAACAGAAAGCGCTGTAACTTTAAAGCTTAAAGAATAAAGGCCCTAAGACTATTTCTTACGCGAATAAGACGCGCACGTGTTTTTTATTCTGTTGCAGAATTTTATACATACATACATACATACATATATATATATAATGTTGCAGAATTCTGTTGCAGAATTGCATGCGATGCCTGCCACCCTGTCCGCGTCAAGGCAGCTACGATTACAGACAGCGGAAGATAGGACAGAACAGTAAAATCGGCGCAACCCGAGCCAGCGTTGCTGCCCAGGCGACACCGTTAACCCCTATTTGTGTTCTTCGAGACACGCGATGGATCCCCGGTCTGCCTCTCTCCACGTCCCGGGGCTGACCTCCGTCAACCTCGTGGAGAACGAAGCTTTCGCCCCAAGGAGACTCCGCTGCCGGCTGCGTCCTTGCCGCTTGGCTTGCGCGTCTTGCGTTTACAGCGATCCAGGCTTAGCGCGCAGGCACGCTCCCTTCCGCCGCGCCTGATAAACTCGGGCTTCCGGCAGGGCGCGCATTTGCACCACCCGCTTAACGACGCCCTCTGAAGACCTGCTGGGTGCGCACGCTCCACGTGCTGACTTCGGTTAGGGTTAACCTTGGTTAGTTTCCTCGAGGCTTCGCGCGTTGTGCGAATCCGGAAAAAGGAGGGACGGCCACCGAGCAAGTTAAGGCTGTCGTGTGAACCCAGAAAAAAAATAGGGAGAAACTCAAGATGCACGTTAAGCCTGCTGTGGGAGCCCAGGTTAGGAAAAGAAAGGCGAGGAATGAGACCCCGCCGGCTCTCTCCCCCCCCCCTTTCCGCAGGCGAAGCAAGTTGAAAGAGCCGCCTTGCAGTCTGTTCCTAAGCCCCGCCCGCCCTCCAACGATCCACCTCGGATTGGCCGACAGGAGACCCCCCGTGCAGTGGTTTGGTCTTGGCGAGCCGCGTCGGTGGAGCCGCGCCCCGAGGCTTAAACCCGGCCTTCCCTCTCTTCCAATCAAGCCGGCGTTTGCAAAGTCTCCCCAGTCGTCCCTCTTCCAACGAGCCCTCCGATTGGCTGCCTGCCCCCAAACGGAGCCAACCATTCTGGGCTGGGAGCGGGGGAGACCCGCGGGGGGTGTTTCTCGACCTCTTTGCTCGGGTGAGACGGCTCCTGTCAGAAGGACCCGGGCGGGGAGGCGGAAGCGTTGCGTTACGCCGCGCGCGGCCCCGGAGGCTCCTGGGAGA